GGCTATCGACGTATATATTGACGTTATTAGCTATGTCAGCAGCTTTTCTGACCGCAAATACTTTCGCATGGAAGATTCTGCAGCATACAGGCTGCTTGAAGGGTCGCCTGAGAATTAGATCCTCATAAAAGATCTCGGTCCCCCACTTCATCAGCCATTTTGATCTGTCTGTGTAAATGTTAAGAGCTCCGCTAATGGTTCGCGTGCTCTCAAGCCATCTTCCCTCTACTTGTATTAATGTGAACTAAAATATTTTCTCCCAGATAAAGCGTGAGGTTATGTGGTATATTTTATCCACCAACCCCCTATTTGTCGACCTATACCCAAAGGTTCATGTGGAAAATTCACCCAACGCCGCCAATCTTACAGCTGATTTCGCTACAAAGCGATAGTGCAATAACTAAGCTCCAACTTAAGAGGATTTGTCGTCTAAAATTTTTAAATATTTTAGAATTTCTTAATTTAAGAAGGACATGCACAAAATCAGGTAATAACCACACCCACTCTTATATAACGGTTATACTGAAAATTATTAAAAGTCCGATAACTCACTAAATAATAAATCAAAAGGATTAAATTCCACAACCAAAATGCTACGGAAAGGCTTTAAAGGAGCCGGTGCCAAAATTAATACCAATGAATATATCGGGATAAAAATTTGCACAAGTAATGCCTTTAAGGTATTATAACTTTTCAAAACCACAGATACCTTACATGTTAAACTTGTGGTTTACTTACTTACGGTTAAGATGTAAGATATCTTATCAAAATTAAATGAACGTGTAGTATTAGATTCTGTAGTTTGGTGGTTCTCATACTTATATATTATATACTAGTATGATTTCCATTGGGCTTTAGGTTGAATATATCAGTTCAATTATAAGTTATAATAATATTAATATGCGTTCGAACTTAATAAATAATCATTTAAAACTACTCTAGAGACACCGTGTATTTTCTTTTATGTAGTTCTACACTGAAATATAATATATAAAATCTATCATTCAAAACTTACTTTTTCATAAGCCAGCAATGTCTCGGCATTGACATTAATAGTAAACAAAGTTACTCGTACGATTTTTATTCTGTTTTTTGTAGTTGCAAATGTGGTTCTGGTTTCCACGATCTTCCAATTGTTGTTATGACGGTGCGAAAGTTGTTTGCAAGGAGGGGGGACCACGGATGCAAAATGCTACGTAATCATAACCATAACCAATAAAGTGTGTAATTATGTAAAGTTATTGACGTAAGCCATAAGAATATTATCACGACATTGGCAATATAATTATTAGCTAAATAATTATAATTTAAAGCGAATAGTTTATTGTTCAATTACAGAAAGTGAATCACATATGGGCATATATCATTAACTTTTACTGAATAAATAGAGCAAATACAAACTGAGGCTCATAACGAAGAGAATTAGAAGTCGAATGATCCCATATCACTTTCGCGATCATTTAGTTTTTGCACAAAAAATCCGTGACATTTGGCATCGCCCACAAAGCATTTGAATAATCTGAGCAAACCTTAAAATTTCTTGAAGTTTAAAACCCGGAAAATTTAACCAAAATAAAACTTACTACGCATGATCCCTAATATGTACTAAGCCATACCTTTCCCGAATTCAGTCTTCCGAAAAAAAGGATTTCCAACTTGAGTTTGGCTTTCTACTGTATACTCGTAAGTATACATATATCAGTATATTAATAAACTTAGGGGTACATAATTCGATTGAGAAAATACTTAAAATGGATGAAATTCTTCTTCACCTACATTTGCTGATATATTCTTTTCCTTATGACATGCTTTATGACATATGTATATACTACATCGTCACCCTCTTTACCTAATTTCGTATTGCTGATCTTATTGCCCAGCGAGTTATCGCTCGTCGACAACACTATTAGATAAACATGACTAAAATTATAATCGATTCACGAAATGGCGAAAAGCTATGCCTTCAAAAGTATTATTACTATAGTAATTTAAACAAGAAAAAACGTTAACTTCGGTTGCACCGAAGCTATAACACCCTTCACAAATACAAAGGCCCCTTACAAGAACTTGATTCCGAACGTTCAATTTGTATGGCAGCTATATGATATAGTGATCTGATCTGACCAATTTCTGTGGAGAATAATTTGTTGCCTTAAGCAATTACTCGTGCCTAATTTCGTCAAATGAAAGAGTTTTCCATACAAGCACTTCATTCCGATTGTTCAGTTTGTATGGCAGATATATGCTATAGTCATCCCATATATAAAATTTCTTCGGAGATTGGAAAAATGCCTTAAATAATAATACATGCCAAAATTCGTGAAAATATCTCGTTAAGTGAAAGAGTTTTCCATACAAGCACTTGATTCCAATTGTTCAGTTTGTATGGCAGCTATATGCTATAATCATCCGATATCGGCCTTTCCGACAAATGAGCAGCTTCTTTGTGAGAAAAGGACAGGTGCAAAATTTTAGATCGATAGCTTAAAAACTGAGGGACTAGTTTGTATATATACAGACAGACGGACAGACAGACGGACATGGCTAAATCAACGTTTCCTTCTAGGTGTTACTAACTTCAAACTTAATATACCCTGTTCAGGGTATAAAAAGTGTGCAACTAAGCTACTAGCGTTCGAGGCAATGCTCACTTTACAATGAATTAAAAACCGCTGTTAGTCTCATTGTCTGATGATGTACATCATATGTATTTCAAATATGTGCATACATTTATACTTATTTTTATTATTGAGAGTTAATGCTGAAAATTATTAAGTGAAACAAAACTATCGATGCAATATGTAAGGAAAGTATTCAAACATTACATTTGCTCCCTTTAATATGAAAGTGATTAGTAATTGTAATACATTTATAGCTGAAATATCATAAATTAACAGAAAGCTCGCAAATTAATATACAAAGTAGCGCCATAAAAAGTATTTATTTAATTAAACTAATACAATTTAACTGTTGAAAACAAAACTCACTCTCAACTTAAACACTTAATGACTCAGTTAAATTCAGAGCAGGTAATAAAAATTGTAATAATTTATATATGTAAATAAAATTTAGGAATTTCTAATTTTCAAAACAGCAATTACTTAATTTTTAAATTTTATAGCCTCAATACATAACACTCATGAGTTCATTTCCATTAGTTACATAGAATTTTTTAAAAGTATGTAATTTTCTAGAGGGATGGAAGTCAAACCAGATGTCAAAGTACAAACAATTTTGTCATGTCAATATCAATTGTCTAAGTGCTAAATAGTTCCAGCAGGGGGGTGCAGAAAGACATACAGCGAGCAAAAATATAACTTTATCGCGAGAAATTTGGAGCAGATAGAGATATCAAATGGAGTTGTTAAAGAGCCACACAAGCTATAGAGTCTATAAAGCCTTTGAAAATAGCAAAAACTTAAAACAAGTGTATAGTTGGTTGAAACCCCATGGAAACGAAAGTTAAAATAATAAATATATAAGGAACAATAATTTACGGATGTTTTGAGGTCGGGAAGAGAAAGGGGGAGGGCGTGGATAACTTTTTAAGGGTAACCTCAAAATTTATGTGAAAAATTCACATAATTAAGTTTTTTTGGTGTTTTACCTTGTACCAAAAAAAATATCTCTCACGAAATTTGGTGTAAACCAGGGTTGCGAATTTTTTAATTCAAAAATTTAGGATTAAAAAATAAAAATTCCCGATGTCGAGTAGTCGGGATTAAAAATTAAAAATAAATTTTGGATTTTAGGATTACAAAAAAAATATAATACAATAATTTAATCAAATGTTAATTCAATTATTTTTTTAATGCATAATTTGCAACACTGGTGTAAACTTACTTGCTTCTGTCCCAAACACACTGTATCTTTTTATTAAAATATTAAGGAAACCTTATTTCGACTTAAAATCGAATCTCAATTTTCATTACCACGTCAATTTTTCATATTTTTTTAAAAGTCAGTAAGCTGTATGTCCTTTATCATATAGCTGTCATGCAAACTAAACGATCAAAAGCTAGTTTTTGTATGAAACATTTATTTATTTATGAAGGGTTGCATTTCTAATAGCAACTATATGATACCAACGGTTTGCATCCAAGGGCAAAATTTATCCAGTACTTTCTAGTCATGTTTTTTGATATACATATACAAATCTTTTATGATTTATCTTGATTTTGATCGGTCAGTGAGAATGGCAGCAATTTGCTCGGAGATTATAACATTGTCTTTATAGGGTCTCCAACGTTTCCTTCTGGTGGTTAGAAACTTCGTAGCAGACTTAAATTACCCTTTTCAAGGTATGTATACATATATTTTATTTTATATATGCATTAATATTTTGTGACAAATACAAAATACCTCTAGGTTACAAAAAGTAATGCAAATAATGTTCTAAAACAAGTTCTCCAGATAAATACAAGTAGATATTAAAAGCGCAAAAACGAAGAAGTAAAGCAATAAAAAACCAGGGACAACATGTATACCGATTACTAACACAACAAACCTTACAGATAGTTTCCGCTATAAAATACGTCTTACGATATCCATGGCTATATACCACCTATTTATGTGTATATATCTGAGTACTGATTATCTACAGCCATCACACAAGCCAATACCAAGTCAATACTCGTAATTGCATTTTCGAATGTGAAATACAAAGTTAAAATGTGAATAGAAAATTAATTGAATTCTTTGTGGAATCGACTTGTAAGTTTATATCAAACAAAGTTGCATATTTTACAATCATATGTGTAATTCATTAAATAATGTAATATAATATAGTACAGATGTCACATACAAACCTACATACGTGCACACATGGTGGTGCCGAGAAAATACTTGCTGTTAACCTTTGCACGCCAACAACCCCGCACAGCCCTGCACAGCCGGCCGGCTAACTAAGCACATAAGTGGCTTGACAAGTATGCAAGTGACTAAGTACGTAGTAAGTGCGAGTAATAGCAAAGCAGTTAAGTTAATAAATTGTTATTATTGAGTTTATAAAAGTGCTACAGCATTTCGAGATTAGCCACAGTCGCGTTTAACTTCTCGTTACAAAAACGATTCTAATTTGAAAGAAAGCAGCATCAAATATAGTGGCAAAAGTGAGCAACAATGCGGTATAAAAGTGCACACACACGCACAATGGCTGCGATAAAAGGACTTTTAATTGTGTTTGCCTGTGTGAGTGTTGTGCACAGCTTAGACTATTACACGGAAAAACGTAAGTGTAAGAAGTACAAGTGTGAAAAGAACAGTTGTTAAGAATGAAAAGTGTGAGTCGAATAATTTGGGATTTTAAACAATGAAAGATTGAATTAAATGTGTAAAGGATTTTGCTATGAAGTGATAAGTAGAAAGTGGTGGAAAAAACTTTAGATAAATCCTCAGTTACTTAAAACAACATTTTATAAAGTCGCTAAGTTTCTATTATAAATTATATTTTAATACAATGTGCTTTTCGATTTACACTTAGAAGAGTGTGTTTCAAGGATCACACAAATTTTTACAGAATCCTCTATAGTAGAATTGTAGTCATTGTAATATCAATTGAATACATTAAGGGGTTAGAACAGTCTTCCGCAAAAACAACCTAACTTTGACAATTTATTATGAGAGTAAAGAAAAAGGAATCGAGTTCCTGGCGACTTTATTGAACAAGCATTTGAGGAGAAAGAAAATTTTTTATTCCTACACCGATCTTTTGAATCATCTTTTTCAATAGGGGTGCGGCAGTAATTCTAAGAAGTCCTGTTATCTGTGACAAAATATAAAACGTTATCTCAATCTACATAAGATTTTTTAGTAAAATACAAATAATTTTAGCTTTATTTCATTTTTAATAAAAATAGAGTACTTGTAAACAAACGGTTAAATTGTTTTTACTTTGGGTGGTATGGAGTATTAAATACCAAGGTTGCAAAAAATGCATTAAACAAATTTAATTAACATTTGAATTAAATAAAAAAGTTTAATTTGGCATACCAGGTTAAAAAATAAAATAAAAATGTTTAATCCCACATACCGGATCAAAAAATAATAAAAAACAATTTAATCAAACCTAATTTAAATTTAAAATTTTAATTTTTACGATTAAAAAATGAATATCTAATTAAAAAATAGAAACTTAATTTTTAATCCAAATTTGTTGAATTATGAAATTCGCAACCCTGCACCTTATATATTATAGAAATATTTTTAAAACACATTACTATATAAATTATAATGAAACGTTTAAACTTTAACGATATTTAAGCTACTAAAAAAATCCAACTACACTCGCACAGAGAAAATTTTAAATGATTCTAGTGACTTAATTAGTATGACCTTAATTTGCACAGTAAATAGCATCGTATGAGAATAATTAAATTATTTGCTAGATGAATATATGTATGTATGTATAAATATATGTACATATGTATATAGACTACCATATATACTTCAAATAATTACGGTAATATGTTTCCTCATTTGCAGCCTCTTTCATGCAAACGTGCCGAATCAATGACCCGGAATTTGTGAAATGTTCTACATCCAGTATTCAAAAGTTAATGACCGAATTGGGCAAAGGTACTCATTTTTCAATAAATGAAAAACTAAGGTAATGCTATAAAAAGTTAAAATTAAATAATTCTAGGCATTCCGGAAATAACCGAAGTAATTGGAACATTTGATCCACTGAAGATCAAGGAAATACAGTTTGCACAGGATAATCAAGGCGCTGTGCAACTGCATGCCAATCTCACTGAAATGGTGGCGACTGGATTGTCGAAATTGGTGATTAAGGAAAGCAAGTAAGTTTAGGACTGCACAATCATGATGACAATTCCAAAGGCGGTCTTATACAATAAATACACAGCCTCACTGTTTAATGGCGCCACTATTGAAAGAGAAAGCTACGATTATTCGCGCAGACAAGCTACTGTCAAAATTCCAGACGAATTGGATTTGTATTTTTTTCCAACTGCTTGTGGAATCTTAGGAGACTGGACTGTCCTGTCGGTCGAAAAGATGATGACCACCATTTTTTGAGATTCGCACGGTGCAATCTACTTCGTCTACGTAGAGAAGAACAAAACGTTCACAGCGACACTCTAATTTGTAAAAAAAATGGGGTCCATCTGGCAAAAAAAACTGCTAATCCAACATCATAAGGCACCATCAATTACTACGTACAAATCGGTTGACTTCCGCTACGAAATTCCACTTGTATTGTTGAGAAATAAATCGTTATTTCTCAAAAATTTTCGTTTTTCTTTTAGATTAAATGCGGACAGCCCTCAAATATTTTACAATTCTCAATGTGGACTCTATATAATTACTTATATTCAAATTATTTTAATTACTTCTCTAAGGGTTAGTAAGAAGGACTACAGCTGGGAGACTAAGGTTTATGTGCCCAAGCTACGTTTGGAGGGTCAATATAAAATGGCTGGAAAGATACTTTTGATACCATTGAATGGAGCCGGTCATATGTTTATTGAAATTGGTAAAAAATTTGCTTTTACTTAAGATTTTTATTTAAATTTTTCTATAACTATTTTATTATTTGCTTAGAAAACCTAAACATACTCATGCGCACTAAAACTCGACTCTATGAGAAAGGCGATTTCACCTTCTACAATGTCACTAAGCTGCGCATGGATTTGAGTCCAGGCGGTGTGAAAACAAATTTTGAAAATATTTTCAATGGTAATAGCAAAGAGGTGGAGCGTAGCACTAATCTGTTCTTTAATGAAAACTGGCGTGAGTTCTTCGAAGCGCTGCGCCCGCTCATAACGGAAACTGTGGAAACTACCATGTTGGACATATTGCAGAAGGTCTTCCATTTGGTGCCGGCGAATTTCTTCGTTGAAGATATACCAACTTCAACGGAATTGTACAGAAAGGGGAAGAAAAAGTAAATACAGTTATATTGAATAATATACAAATAGTGGAAGTAATTAAATATAGTGAAATCTTAAAGTTGACTAAAATTGCTTTTAAATCGAAACCAATTCGTAGCATGATTTTTGATTAATTTTGATTAAGACACCTTTTAAGACGGACAATATATCTATTATTTCCAAACCTTAAAATTTTTTGGTGCTATTAATAGCAACAGACTATAAGATCAGGTTTTATGATAGATTAGCAGCGGAAAACTACCCAAGTATTTACACCGAATGTACAATAGTTCCAATTTTTAGTTGAAAATTAATATTTCACCCCTGCGCTCTATTCAATATCGACCTATTTATCAGAAAATGTTGCAATATCGTCCATCAAAAGTTCATAATCTGTTATAGTTCTTAAAAAGAATGTATGGAAACTGTGCAGAAAATTTGTTTTATACTATTAGCTACGTTCGAGTGTAGCCGAACATTTATACTCTTGCAACTTGCAAGGAACACAGGCGGAGGAAAACCTTCAGGTCTAAGCAAAACTTTGTATCAAACTAAGAAAAATATCGCCGTGATTTCATCCTTCTAAGGAAAGAGGATACACTATAATCGAAAAAGATTCTTTCACAATTTCATTAAAATTTCTTACATTTAGACTGTTAGATGCGGTATATTGCTTTTACCCATTTTTGGCACAAGTTATAGTGCGATTTCAACAATTTTTGATGTGACACGCCACAGAATATAATCTGATAGATTTCGCATAAAGCCCGTTTTAACATAAAATGTGAATAATGTACTGGGGAGTACTTGTGCCTTTATTAGGCCTCCGCTTATATTGTTATTCACTCATACACTACATGGGCTGAATCTCTATCATTGACTCCTTAACTCGATACAACAATCAAATACCGGTTTGCTTAATTTCCTCGTAATCATGCCAGCACAAATGATACATCCCTTTCGGGAAGAGTCGGTAGCACCAGAAAATATCGCGAGAGCTCGTGAAATTGTGTTGGTGTATCGTAAAATGAAATTGCCTAAAAAAGGCGTGGCAGCCTAAAAAGGCGATTAAAAAAAAACAATGAATCAATTGTTTTAAAATTTTAGGAGTATATTTATACATATTTTAAGCATTACAGTAAAATTGTTGAAGAAAAAAATTTAATATTTTTCGAGTCACACGCGATCTCCTACAGCGAAAAACAGAGGTCCTCCACTGTTGATTCCGGCCTTCTACGTGGCTGAAACCTACAAAAAAAAATTATCTACATAAAGATATTTAGTAACACAAAAATACAAAAATGTGATTTTTTAAGAAAAAAATATTTGAAACACTCATTTCCGTATGTTATTTTTTGCCGTATAGACTATCGAAATACTATGTAAGAATAAAATATTTGATTTTTTTAAAATTTCACATTGATTTGAACCTTAAAACTCTTTTGCCGACAATGGGTGTTTATGAACTAGTCCCTCACCGAGCGTATTTCCCCTCTTTCTTCCCCAAAAAATAACTTTTAGTAAAAACTTCCACTCAAATGGGCTGATTAAGATGAGACCTAAGGCTTTAAAACTTCACACTATCGAATCGGTATCAAAATCCTGGAGCACAAAATGCATTACTTTAGATGAGGCGTAATCAAAAAATTTACCGATTTTTTAACACCAAGTGATGAAATTTTTTCTCCTTATTTTTATTTGTCAAGTTCAAAAACATTTTAACGACTACACGTAAGAAAGCCCTATATCGGTGTAACAGAACATTTTATACTCTTGCAACTTGCAAGAATTAAAACACGCAAAATTATTTCAGGTGCTGGCGAAACTATATATATAAACAAGTAAGGAAGGGCTAATTCGGATGTAACCGAACAGTTTTGGTTCAGTTTAGATAATTTTTGGCCACAGAGTGGCATACTTAAACGCATTATTCACGCAAAGTTTACCGATATAATCATTTTTGCTTGACTTGCATACTGGCAAAGTGAAAGATCAGATGGAATTTAAAATGGTGTAATGTGGGAAATAGGCGTGTAATCCGATTTCGCCATTTCGCATTATAACATAGAAATATGAGAAGAATCTTATGTACCGAATTTTAAGTTTTTAACAAAACCGTTATATAGGGATGGGCGCGATTATCATACGATTTCATCCATTTTCACACTGTCAATGAAAGTGTCAAAAATATTTGTTTGTGCAAATTTGGGTTATTATTGAATAGTTTAGAGAAATACAAGATGTCTTCAAAGGAAAAGGGAAATTTTGATTTCATTAATATCGTTTACACGATATGAGTCGAAAAGAAATTACTTTGAGCTGCACCGAAATGTGTACTCTTTATTGATATTCTTAAGACTAACTTGTTACATAGATCTTACTGCTATTTAACTAATACTAGTGTTACTTATTACTAGTTGATAGTTTCTTTACATATAACATATTGTTTGTTTAAATACATTTGCATTGTTCTTAGATAAGGGTTGTTGTTTAATGTTGTTTTCATTCTGTTCATTCAGAGATAAGGTTGTTTGATGTTTGTTTGTTTAGAATAAGTAACGTTCCTTAACTCTCCCGGTGTTTAAATGAAATGTCCTCATTTCAAATCTGCTATAGTCGGAGGAACTCAGCTTGAAGTGGGCGTAGTTCAGTTTTGTATGATTCTTCGAATTTTTACATGGATTGACATTTGATTGTACTATCGATATTACTATTATCATTCATTGATTATTTTAATCAATTATTTGTATTATTAACTATTGACAATATTTTGTTTCATTAAATTTGATGTTTATAAGTATATTTTAATTATCGTGCTTTTTTTAATTAATATTTTTCGTGATATTATCATTATTATTAATCTTTTATATTATTATATGTAATTATTATTGTTGGTTTCTTTGATATGTTTGATTTCATTTTATTAATGATTTTGTTTTTATAAAAAATGTTTCAAAATTAGTTGTGATATTTTTTCAAAAGCGATTTCAGAAAAATCTTTGCCTTTCCTTAGATAAGGTGTTTTGTTTAATGTTGTTTTCATACATTCTGTTCATTCAGAGATAGGTTGTTTTGATGTTTGTTTGTTTAGGATAAGTAAACGTTCCTTAACTCGGGCAGTGTACAAGTATATTCGATTATCGATATTGTGTTTCTGTTATAATCGGACACATACAAATGTTTATCATGGAGGAGGAGTAAATTTCCATTAGTAGTTTGCTTTTGACAACAGAAAGGTTAGTCATGTTTTTATGTGCTCTTCGATTTTTGACTTTCAAGAAAAAAAGATCAAAGAGTACTTGTATGTATTAAATTTTGCGTTAAAATGGAATAAGTGCTCTTGTGGCATTCAGTGAGCCCACTTTGTCTCAAAAGTGTTTATTGTACACTTATGCACTTATACCCTAGCGCTTTACAGAAGGCCGAGGAAGATGTTGATGATCATCAATCATCCCTATGGAAGCTGTCAGATGAGCCAAGACCAAACAGGCACGCCAAGTTCGATCAAATGTGAAGGTTTTGCTCACTGTTTTGTATGATAACAATGGTGTGGTGCATCATGAGTTCTTGTTAAACGATCGTACAGTTAATAAGAATACTACAAAGTAAGTTTTTCTGGAAATTGTGGGAAAACAAATCGTGAGTCTGCATCACGATAATGCACCATCTCACATATCAATGCTTATTCGTGATTTTTGGCCAAAACTAAACCGTAATCATGCCTCAACACTGTATTCCCTTGATTTGGCCTCCCTACAACCTTTTGCTTTTCCCAAAACTGAAGAGGCCAATGAAAGAAAAGCCACAATTGATGAGATCAAGTCAGAATCGAAGAAAACTGATGCCATACCGAAAAGCGCATTCAGAAGTGCTTCAGGATGGAAAATGCGTTGGCATAAGTGTATTTCATCCGAGGGG